TGACCTTGGTTAAAACACATAGTGCCAAGAAGGGGAGCAAACATATTAAGAACAGTATGCCATATACGCCAGGTCCCATATGCTGTGCAGATCTTTCTTCCCTGCAGCGACTGTGTCAAGCAGCAAGGATGGACCGGCTTCCGGCATCTGAGCCCTACACTTTCCACCATAATGACTCATAGCAGATGCTCAGCACACAGTGAACTAGGGAGCTTGCCTTCTCCTTTGCTGTCACCTTCTCTCAGCCTAAATCTTGCTTCCAGAATAGGGTAGAATGCCTGGCAGCAAGAGACATGTAACTTGAGGAGTCTGGTTCTGGTTAATATGTGATTTTCCAGAACTGATCACAGGCCGTTACAAAAGCTTATCTGGCAGGCCCCCACACACACACCACCTGGGGGCATAGCCTGTGGGGTGGCATCTCTGAGGAGAGTTGTAGCCAAGGTCTCAGGAACCCCTGGTTGGCCACCTCTTTCACATATTTGCATTCCAACTTCAGATGCCTTCATTCCTAGGTCTCCTTACCTGAGGCCTTGGGCAGAGGTCATCTTCAGGCCTCTGCTAAGCTTCCTCATGGGGGAGAAGAGGAAAGCTTTGAAGACACTTTCTCCACTCTCCATCCCCAGGGCTTTCCCACTCCCAGCCCTTCCTCTTCACCCTCCCTCCCCAACCAGGGTCCATAAGAGGCTTTTGCTGAGCCTTTTGTCTGGGCTCCCTCAACAGTGAGAAGACCCCACCTCTGTGCTCATCCACCTGATGCTCCACCCGGCGCCACTCCAGGAGGGAAAGTGGAACAGGCGGATTTACGCTGTCTCCTGTTTAAGTGTCTTGCTTATGTCACATGCTCACTCATTCATTCTCAGCTTGTTGCTTCAACGTGCTCCTCTGAGACCTGGCAGCTCAGCTTGCTCCTTCCCAGCTCCGCTGAGCTTCTGATGTAACAGAGGGCTGTCTTTGTCATGACGCGGGAAGAGATGTCAGGGGCGACCCTGCCCAGACTTTACTACCCGCCATGCTGCTGCCATACTGGCCTATATCACAGGGGTTCTGCCCAGATGCACGTCTTGCTGTCTCTACTCTGTCTGCTCAACAACCTCTCATCCTCGAGGTCGCAGCTCACGTGTCAGCCTCAGGGAAGGCTTCCTGTCTCTGGGTAGACCATGCCAGTCTGCCATTGTGTGCCCTCAGAGCACCCTGCTTCTTTCCTTCACAGCACCCATCTTGGCTCATAATCCCCGACGTCTCAGTGACATCTCACTTCATGTCTAGCTTTCTAATGACTCCCTGTGGCAGCTGGGAAAGAGATTTTGAGCACTTTCAGATCCCCAGTGCCTGGCACTGTCCCTGTTTCTCAGTTGGTATTACTAATTCAGTTATTGGTTTGCCAAGTTTCTCTTCTGCCAATGAGCCCTGTGAGTTGGCCACCACTTGCCCAGCCTCACCTCTTGATATTTAGTCTGACCATCCTTTGCTGAAGAAGAGGCAGGGGGGATCCAAGTTCTCACTCTGGCCCCATGGGAACTGGTAACCAATGTGTCTGCATTGGTTAGAATCAGCTCTAACTCGGGTGTGTGTGTGTGTTTGCCTTTGAGTTAGATTTTGTTTGGTTTTTTAAAAAAAGAATCTGAGAAAGTGACCATGAACTCTATTTAAAATTTGTTTTCCTAAAGGGCACCTCATATCTGGTTCTCACAGCACAGGAAAGTGACACTGAAGGTAACATTTGTTCCCCCCTGATTCTATCTTCTGATGAGCAAATACCACCTCCTCATCCATTTTCACGTGGAAGAGGGTTTCACCGGGAGGAATTTGCCCCTCTTTCTCTGCCCCTCTGGGTGTCATGAAAGCAATCTTCACGTTTTTCTCATGCCCTTGACTCACCGTCTTCCCTGATGCAATGCAGATGTGTTGATTTTGCAACTTAAAGAGGAAGAGGGTGTCAAAGTCTTCACCCAAGGAAACTTACCTGAGAGGCTGAGGCTGCAGAAGGAGGGGCTGTCGAGAACCCTCTTGCTGAAAGCTCTCAGAGCCACCAGACACCTGACCTTGGGATGGCTGAGGCCAGGGTGCTGATGCCAAGTCTCAAGCAAAGAAAGCAGTGTAGGGACAAAGCAAATGCCAGAGCAGGGTCAGAAGCTCGAACATAAGACCTGAAGAAGGAAGGATTGCAAGCACTGAGCAAGGCCAAGACACTCTTGGGTTCAGCTCTGGGGGAAGAGAGAAAGGGCCCTGGGGTGGAAGCTCTGAGTGGGGAAGGGCTCAGGGGGCACTGGGGAGAGAAGCTTGGTGCCTGAGCAATGGCATGCAGTGGGGGCTCAAAGCAAGCACTCATTCTACTTCAACCTGTGTGTCCAC